CAAGCCCGAGAAAACCAGGCAGGCTTTAGACCTGGCCGTGGATGTATCGACCAAATATTCACACTGCGCCAGGTCCTGGAACATAGGCATGCTTACAGACGCCCGACAATAGCTGTATTTCTCGACCTGAAGGCGGCATTTGACTCCGTTGATCGAGAAGTCTTATGGCAGTGTCTGTCACTGAAAGGCGTGCCTAGTAAGTACATCACCTTATTGAAAGCTCTCTACTCGAACACTTGTGGGCATGTTAGAGCCTATGGTGAGTTGTCCAGGGAGCTATACTCATCAAGTGGTGTCCGTCAAGGATGCCCACTATCCCCATTCTTATTTAATTTTATCATAGATATTCTTATGGAGGTTTCCCTCTCGTCACCTAATTACAAAGACGTTGACCGGATCACAGGTGAATTTTCCTTAGATCTAGAATATGCAGATGACATAGTCCTGTTAGGTGAAGACGCTGACAAGATGCAGAGTCTTCTGAACACTTTGAGTGGGAATTTGAGAATGTTTGGGATGCGATTTTCACCACCCAAATGCAAATTTTTGCTCCAGGACTGGTCTTCAGCGGTACCGCGGTTAACAATAGAGAGTGAAGTGGTTGAGTGTGTTGACCACTTCACTTACCTGGGAAGTAGGATCAACCCGGTGGGTTAGTTGCCGATGAGATTTCTGCACGGATACAAAAGGCTCGATTGGCTTTTGCCAATTTGCGCCACCTATGGCGCCGCCGTGATATTCGTTTGTCTATTAAGGGTCGCGTGTACTGCACAGCAGTCCGCTCTGTTCTACTGTATGGCTGTGAAACATGGCCATTGAAAGTGGAAGACATGAGAAGGTTACAGGTATTTGACCACCGTTGCCTTCGTAGTATAGGACGTATTCCGTGGTGTCACCATGTGAGTAATGCAGAAGTTAGGTGTAGAGTTTTAGGGAGAAGAGGTAAGTCAGTCGACGAGGTTGTGAACCTTCATCGACTGAGATGGTTGGGACACGTACTACGTATGCCTAGTCACCGATTGCCTCGTCACACAATGTTGGCTGAGGTGGGTTCAGGCTGGAAAAAGGCCCGAGGTGGCCAGACTAAAACATGGCACCAATGTATGAAGTCTCTGACTGTTGGTTTAAGCCATGTAGGACGATGCAGACTAGGTGGTTGGGGTCCACGGGACAAGAGGAACCAGTGGTTGGAGACCCTAGGTGATATGGCTCAGAACCGAAGTCAGTGGCGCAGATGTATACACACATTATCCTCATCTTAACAACGCTATACCGAATCTCACTATTTTGTCACTCCTCTTTCCTTTCTTCTCATACTTTATATTTCTTTTGACTGCATTCACTTATCTTCATCCTTCACCTCACTACCTTTTTACTTGATGTGCTGATATGAGGTGTGGCAACTCGGACCGTTACGCAGTAATGCCTGGTCCTATGTTGATAATGATGATGATCAACCAGTGGTGTCTGTCGGGGATGCCTGCTGTCACCATTCCTGTTCAACTTCGTTATGGATGTATTGACAGATATAACTTAAGTTACCTCCGACTTTACAGGGATCGATTTACTTTAATTAATTCGGAGTATGCAAACATGATCCTGCTTGGTGACTACGCCTACAAAAGGCTGGGTGTTAGAACACCTTGAGGAGGAGTATGTATATGTTTGGTACGCGTTTCGCACGTGTCAAATATAGAGTGATGCTGCAGGACTGATCTCCAACTCCTCCTAGTTTAATGATAGGAAGTGAAGTAGTTGAATGGGTCTACCACTTCACTTACTTGGGGAGGTGGACCAATCTAAACGCATTAGTTGCTGACGAAATATCAGTTCGGATACAGAAGGCCTGTTTTTCATTTGCCAACTTGGATTATTCCTGGCGCTGACTGGCGAGATATCCGATTACATTTTGAAGGACGATTACACTGCACTGGAGTTTGTTCTGTCCTGTTATACGGCTGGGAAACATGATAGTTGAAAGTAGACAGCATGAAGCGACTACAGGGTTTTCATCAAATGTGTCGTTGTATGAATAATGTGAAAGTCAGACGAAAAGTACTAGGTAAATAGGGAAAATCAGCTGATCAGGTTGTGAACCTTAAGCGACTGAGGTTGCTTGAACATGTGCGGCTAGGAGAAGTTGAATCAGGTAACAAGAGGGCTGAGGGTGATCAGACCAAGGATTAACAGCAGTGAATGAAGTCCCTAACTATTGGTCTGTGCTGCGTGGAGAGATGTAAACTGCCTGGTTGTAGTCCTGAAAATGACAGGAATCAGTCGTTACAAACTATTGGTGAAGTGGCTGCAAATAGGCCGCAGATGTATTCACTCTGATGTCCTTCAAAACTTGAATGTTCTAATTAACTTTTATTTTTAAGTGGCCTCTTCCCTTATGCACCTTTTTCTTTTCCTGTCCGTTCGTTTTTTTTTTGAATACTGTTGTAAAGTTTGGCCACTTGGAACTATGCACTTGTGTGCCAAGTTCTTTATTGATTCGTCTGTTTGGCATAATCCCGACCGACAGCTGCTACCTTGACGTGGTGGCCGGGCTTGCATATCACAATGACCCAACGAGCTGTGCTGGTGGAACAATTGTTGCCTCGAGGTCCTATCATAGCAGAAAGGTCTGTTGGATAGTGGTAAGACGAAAAGCAGTTACTGTTGTGGTGTAAATTACTACATTATGATGGGGTTTGAGGGCAAGGTCGTACTGCTGTTAGGTGGGTGGGGTGTGACAGCAGTAAGGTGTTTCCCTTGGATGACCGACAGTGCCATGCTGATATTGCCTTCCCAGTGGAAGTGGGGTGGGGGTTAGAAAGGGTCAGCCCCCCAAATAACACACTCCACCATACCCGACGGTCTGCCGGGCCGGCGGTGTTGGTTCATTTGTCGTTTCTTTTTGACCATCCGGCCCCAAAACAGGAAAAGCTCAAGACACATAAGGCTGTGTGTGACAGCCCTCAAGCAGATGTCCGATGGACTCTGCAGTCACACAAATCTTCCAGGTACTCTAATAAGAAATAACCTTTCACGGTGTGGGTAGCTGGGAAGGGACAACCACCCTCATAACTCTGTCAGCACTCAAGTTTCCTCAGACTGCTATCCACCTCCCCATGATTACCTTATAATCTTCCTCCACTTTTCTCAACTAACGATACTACATCATCTTCAATTTTTCCTAGGTCTGCAGCCTTCGACGACGATCTGAGTCCACCAAACAGCATCCTTGGTCTCCTTAAACCACGCTCCAAATTAGATATTGAAGCCTTCAATGTCCGCCCGCTCCTTCAAATTGGTCAACAGGCTTCATTGGCGAAGACTCCAGCAACTCAGGCCATGTGAGACACGCTTACAGGACCTAAGTGTGACTATTCACCTGACCTCTCCGGGCCAGTCTGAGGAATTCACGAAATTCACCCTTTGAGTTTCTGGAGATTCGATAGCTACCTCTCGCGGTCTTGCAGGTGTAAGGATAGCATTAAGCACTAGGGCGGAAAACTCACTATTAGACTGGATCTCAGTTGATAGTCGCCTCTGCACTATCCGACTGAACGGCACAGTGAGAACTAAAAGGAATAGTGAGACTCGCCGTTATCTCTTTGTAATCTCTGCTTACTCATCCATTGACTGTAGTTCGGATGAAGTGAAGGACGAGTTCTACCGTAAACTGTCTGTCCTCCTCTCGAAAGCCAAACGTTCGGACGTAGTGGTTGTTGCAGGTGACCTCAACGCACAGGTGGGTAGACTGAGTGAGGCAGAAAGGCACCTAGGTGGCACTTTCGGAATCCCAGCTGAACGTACAGATAACGGTTATCGCCTACTACAACTGTGCTAAGATGACCACCTATTCTTGGCTGGCACAAGTTTCAGACGTAAAGAAAGATACCGTCTGACCTGGCGTCCACCAAGGTCAAATCAGCGATGGACACAGATAGACCAAATTACTATTGGTAATCGCTGGAGAGGATCGGTGGAAGACTGCCGCTCCTTCTTGATTACGTTTGGCTTTCGCCAACTTACGCTATCTGTGGCGCCGCCGTGATATCCGATTGTCTATTAAGGGTCGCGTGTACTGCACAGCAGTCCGGTCTGTTCTACTGTATGGCTGTAAAACATGGCGATGGAAGGTGGAAGACATGAGAAGGCTTCAAGTGTTTGACCACCGTTGCCTTCGTATTTCGGGCCGTATTCCTTGGTGTCATCACGTGAGTAACGGAGAAGTCAGGTGTGAAGTTTTTAGGAGTAGAGGTAATACAGTTGACACGGTTGTGAACCTTCATCAACTGAGTGGTTGACTCCGACATGTGTTACGTATGCTTAGTTGTTGATTGCCTCGTCACACAATGTTGGCTGATGTAGGTCCAGTCTGGAAAAAGGCTTGGGGGTGGTCAGGCTAAAAGATGGCATGAATGTATGAAGTGTTTGACTGTTTGTTTGAGCCATGTGGGGCGATGCAGACTGGGTGATTTGGGTCCGCGGGACAAGAGAAACCAGTGGTTGGCGTGTCTATGTGATCACATGGCTGAGAACCGATGTGAGTGTTGCAGATGTATACATTCATTATCCTCATCTTAACGACGCTATACCGAATCTCACTATTTCCTCACTCTTGCTTTCTTTCTTTTCGTACTTTATATTTCTGTTGACTGAATTTTCTTATCTTCATCATGCACTTGACTACCTTTTTACTTGATGTTCTGATATGAGGTGTGGCAGTAATTCCCGGTCTTATGTTGATATTGATGATGATGATGTTTGGCATAGTGTACCCAGATGTTAAATGACTCATCTGATGGACTGGCTAAATCGCAGAAGATGATCTGTAAAATGCAATTAATATTTGATTTTTTTCTTGGCAAGTTGCTGTTGTCGTGTAGTTGGATTGGTTTCTAAGCTGTTTAAAAATCCTGTTAATGGGTCTTGATTGTAGATTTTTTCATGACTAACAAACGGATGCTAATTCTATCACTTATGACATATTTCCATTTTAATGCTTACAGATGGATAGACCTGCGAATCATCATTTTATGCACAAAAATGAACAAAGTGTATCCAGTAATACTTTATCATCATTGACTAATATTGTACCTTCGTCTTCCGGACGGCATATTATTCCAAAGCCAGAAAATAAACAGAGAGTACCAATAACTGACAATCTAAGTCAGATAACCTTTCGTTCACCAAAACCTTCTAACTTATCCAGTAAAGCGGATGGAATTGATGCTTTCCTATCAACACCAATAATGTTTAAACAAGGTGAAAAGGTAGAGCGTAGTAAAATAGTTGAAAATAAAACCAGTACTACCACTCATGATAATTATAGAAGAAAATCATCATTTAATTGTACATGTGAACAAGAAGACCAACACTCTGCAACTAACCCACTGTTGGGAGTAGATGTCCTTTCTGCTACTAAGTATGACGTCCGAACATCTTATTTATTATCCAATGATGAAGTGAACGATAACAATGAGGAGGAGGATGAAACACCAATTTTGTCGTCAAGCCAATTGTTATCAGATGAAGTTAGACATTACCATGAGCAGCAAGAACAACAACAAACGACGAAACAAGAACACAGCCTCTACCAACAGCAAAACAATCTGCAATCTGGAAATAAATCTCAAGGAGTGCAACATCAATCTGTCAGTATGAAGCATTATCAAAAGGATCCTAATGCTGAATTCAATGTTCAAAGTGTTCATCCACCCATGCGTAAGTTCTTTTTAAAAGTTCTGATGTATCTCATTGAAATACGTATTCAATTTTCAGTTAGTAGGTTTTGGTTTCAAATGTTGCTTTTTCTGCTTGAGAACTGTGGAGGTTTTGGTTGTGTCATCATCTCTCGTAGTATATGTGTAGCCTAGTACCTGAACATGTAATTTAATGCTGAGTTGCTTTTTGTGATGTTTAATGCCTGAAAATAGAATCTGATTGATCATATTTTGTAAAATTTATTGTGTAGAAATTGAATTTCTTGTGTTCATACCCTTCCCTCCCTTCTCCTATCGTTTGTTTTAACTGCTTTCTTTTTGGTCAATCTATAAAATATAGCATAATGCATGATTGTGTACTGAACTGTTAGCCGCAATTATTTTGTGACAGCTTATGGTATTGCCTAGTTCCTTAGGCTGAAGTTATTGTAGTCGTGTTTCGAACGCAGCATTCGTCAAGTCGAAGTTCTAATACTTAAGCTGATGAATTATATTTCTACAATTTTTTGTATGCTACTTAGTTTATATATCTCATAGGTGTTGTGAGTGGTGCTCATAGTTGTATTCTTGTGATGAAACAACTCTCTTCAACTTGAGCACTGTCTTCCCTTCGGTGTTAACCATGTAGAATAGAGATCGTAGTTGTTATCTGTCAGCTATTGCATCCATGTATTGCATTGATGATTCGATATTGTTTCAAGTGATAACAGATCATATCTTCTATTGGAATTAAGAATTTGACTTCCTTTCATTCAGAAGCCTGACCTGTGTAAGTGTTAACAGAATTCCTGGTTGAGTAATATGGCTTGGGATCGATGTCAATGGTACAGATGTATCTGCACGCGATCTACATCTTGGCATTCGTTGATCCTTCTTTTCCTTTTTTTGTTAACGTTTTACCACTTTGACTGCTTTCTTTTGTATTCCTTGATCTTTCCTCTTAGTGCTTTTCCGCTTGATATGGCGATATGAGGTATGGCAACTTGGAACGTTATGCCAGGTCCTGTGTTTTCGTCTATGCGTTTACGTAAACTTATTTCTGTTGTTAGTGTGTTATCTTTTGTATTGTTATTAAATGTTGCAACTTTAAATAATTCACTTTTTTTCGAAAGGAGGGGAAAGAGAGAGAGGGAGTAGAATATACTAAAAAGAGTACAGTTTACTACTATGTAGCTATCCGTGTCCGTTAAAAGTAGAAGACATGAAACGATTATAGGGTTTTGATCATAGGTGTCTTCTCAGCATTGCTGGCGTTTGGTGTAATCCTCGTATGAGCAATGTTGTGGTCACGCGGAGGGTACTAGGCAAGAAAAGCAAGTCGATTGATGAAGTTGTGAACCCTAGTCGACTCAGGTGGTTTAGATGTGTACTGCTCATGGCGAGCCATTGCGTACCTCGATGCGTCATGCTTAGGGAAGTCGAATTAGGTTAGAAGGGGGTTCAGGGTGGTTAGACTGAGACCTGTCACCAGTCCATGAAGTCTCTGATTGTTGTTCTCAGGTGTGTGGGGAGATGTAAAGTATCTGACATGGGTGTCCGAGGCGATAGGAATGAGTGGTTAAGGACTCTTGGTGGTATGGCTGAAAATCGGTCAGAATCGTGAAGATGTATCCACTCCTTGATATATTTTAAAGCTTGTATATTGGCACTTACCGTTATCTTCAGGTTGTATATTCTCTCATACCACTTTATCTACTTTGATATCACACCTTTTCTATCCACCTCTTCTTTGTGAACTACTATAAAGTGTGACAACTTGAGCCGATGCACTTGTCTGCAAGGTTCTACGTTGATTTTGTCTGTCTCCCTATTGTTCATTTAATTTTTCTTGTAATACAGAAACCTGAGGGTTTTAGACAGAATGACTTATATATAAAATTGCCTAAGCAATTGAATTGCTCAGCGTGAAACTTTGCTTGATACAATGTATCGGTTTTGTTTTCCTTATCTTGTGAAAGTGTGATGAAGAAAACTTCATGACTAGAATAACGGAAAGGAAATGAAAGGATTTGGGAATATATTTGCTAAAAGTTTGTTTAGGACTAAGTTGATTCGTCCATCTGACTGTTTGAAATAACTTTGTAGTGATTAAGGGGAAAGGCATATACTATTTACGCTTGGATGCACTAAGCAGTGAGGCATACCTATTGTATGAGGGTTTATTGCACCACCTTTTCACCAACGAATTATGCTTGCTCACTACTACTTAATAAAACTGACTTGTTATGATGGATTTCCTCGGAATTTTAAGGGAGATAAAATCCGAACACGGAGTTACTTGAGTTACCGACGAATAATTGTAGTATTATATCAAAGCATTAGTTAATTGACAGGATAAGCATACTGACACACACACACACACACAGGCATTTAGATGGATTTAAGAAAGTGTGTCATCTGTTGGGAATCTGTTTCAGGAAATCCTTTGATTTTTTCATGCAACCTATAGATTTCTAGGTTCGCTCATAGTTTTCTGCTATGACCGGGTAGTATGACCTAACAGCCGACAAGCCATATGGGCCTAGCAGACTTTAAACGATGTGAACCTAAGGCACAAAGAAATCGACTCTAACGCAAATCATAGCGTTAGCTACCACAACAACAATACCACTGACGCGCGAAGACAAGAAGAGAAGATAGACCGTTGACAAAGAGCTTTTTATTGTCTCAACAACAGTCAATACAGTTGACAGCAATGCTGAATATATACATTCCTAAATGACCTTGACGACACTAAATCCACATACAGGTAAAAATAGTTAACAACCAATAAGAGTTCAGCCTTGAAAGCAGAGGGAAGAAAAACTAATAACCGTTTAAACAGCCGTGTAGGTTATTTTAAGGTCATAGGCAAAACAGTAGGTGAAACTATGCAGAATTAGGAGTATGTAGCATTTTCAGGAATTAGTTTTCTTGCTATGGAAGGTAACAGTTATAACATTTACAGAGGTCTGATGTACTCTTTAAGAATAGATTTTCAGACATGGTAATGCAGTAGAAAGGAAGAGAGAGAGGGAGAAGCTTAGTGTGTTCTGTGAATCTCAGATCCTACTACATACACATCTTATACCTACCTATTAATTTCATTTTTGCTCGAGGTGAGCATGTATACAACTGAATAGTGAGTTTTAGCTGCATTGCCAAAAAGATATGATAAACTAAGAAATCCTCATTATTCTAAAGTGAAGCCACCGTTAAAATCGTCTTCAAAAAGAAGTTCATATAATGTATGACAGAATCATTAAGGTATTAACCTGTCATTAATTGTTTCAAAAGCTTGACTAATACTCTATCATTTAGAATGTTGCTACCATCCAGCTTGTTCAGGTTCAGTGATCGTCATCTCATTTTTTATTTTGTCACTTTCAAAGCTATATTCCAGTGGTTCGACTTCGTATCTCCTTACATTCTGTTACTTTGTTAAGGTGGAAAATGTCATACTTTTCTGTAATGCAGAATTTCTTTACAGTAATAAATTATTATTTTGAAAATAATCTAAATGATTCTTATGTTTTATAGTTCATAATGGTTTTACCTTGAGTTCATCTCAACAAACGTGTAGTACAACTCTAGCACCATCATGTTGGAGTAGTTGTTTATCATATTGTGATTTACCGCAGTCAATATCATCTATTCAAGAAAAATGTCCTTCTCTAAATGTCATGAATAATGGAACAAGTTCTGCTCGTTGTTCGCATACTGGGGATAGTCTGTGTATGAAGTTATCGAAGCAGCGTTCACAGTCACGAGAATCAAGAACACTACAAAATACTGTACACACTGCTGAAAATTGTGATCAATCTTCAAGTGTAACTGAAGTTAGTTTGTTTTGTGTTTTTCAGCAAATAACATATATGATTGTACAGTATTCTGTTGCAAAAACTGTAGCTTACATGGCAAAGCATTCAGAAATATCTTGTTTTGATTTTCTAAACACGCTGGGATTATATTAAAATGTATTCTTATAATATATGGATTTACATTTTGAGGTTTATGGGAATTTTGTTTTAAAAGTTAGTATTCATCATGGACTGAAATCACTTGGAAAGCCATTGAAAGCCTGGGTGTACTGGACAGCTGTTTCGTCCTAACATGGGGCTCCTCAGTTATTTGCACCCACGACCCCGCCAGGGATCAAACTCAGGACCTTCAGGAGGGGTCGCATACTACGACGAAGCAGCTCTCCAGTGGTCCCAGGTTTTCAATGGTTCCCTAAATGATGTCATTTCATGGTGAATACAACCATAAATATATGAATATAGTTTACATTGAGGTGAAGTCACCTTTGGAGGCATTGAGTGAAGCAAAGCACTTGATACCTGTTTTATCCTAGTTTCAGACTTGTAATCTGTGCTTATTACAAAATTCAACCGACTCCCAGTCTAGGTCTTATGTTTAGGCACATCAAGCAGCATTCAACAACTAGGCAGCACCAGGTGAAAATACTGGCTATTTGTGGACATTGCCTTACTGCCGTTGCAATCTCTCAAATAAAATCGTTTCTTTGAATCGGTTTTTAGAAATACAAGCTTCCATAATCGATTGTTGCAGATATGGTTCAAAATCATTCACAGTAGCTCAGGTGTATTCACATCTCATCTTACTTTTAAGCATGGTATACCTCATGGTCTCACACCTTTCCTTTCCTCCTTGTTTTATTGTCATTACTTTTTACGACTGCAAACATGATTGGTTTTGTATCATCATCTTTTCTATTGCTGGTTTCCACCTATGTGTTGATATTAGGCGTAAAACTTTAAGCTTACCCACTACTACTAGGTTCTAGGATTATGCTATAGGTTTGTTTGTATTACGAATATCGCAGTATTTGTCACAAGTGTTTATCCTTGAAAAGTTGTCAACTGTTTAGTTTTTTTCACAGTGATTTTCGTTTATTGATGGGACTTTTATAAAGGTGATTTAGTTTTGTTCTTGCTTGATTTCATTGTGGAAAAATGGAGTACATTGAGTGGTTGGTGGCGGAGACCGCTACACACCCTATTATACTGTGAGATGTATTACTTGAATCTCTTCTAGGTCTCTTTACTAATTCCATTGTACTGTCGAATTGCTTGTCAGATAGAGTAAGTTAGAATTCTGTTGTTTCTTTGTTTCTCAATTCTTGTCGGCAAGGTTGTATTGTGTCACTACTACAAACAGAGACTTTCTAACTCATAGTCAAGGTTTTTTTTTGACTGATTGTAAACTGGATGAGTATGGTTCTCTTAAGGTGGCAACTACTTCAAACCAATGTTTGTAAGCATACAACAAACCTGTTTACAAAAGTATTCTTTTTGTTGCCCACAAATACCTAATTATAATAATCACACATTCTTATGATTCACTTTAGAGTCTCAGTCAATTGTGCTACTTTTAAACTGTTTCAGTTGTATCTTTTATGTGAGTGGAAATTATTGTAATTATTATCCAGTTAAATGTACAATTGGACGACTATGTGTGCGAACTTACTACTTTTTCTATCGACTTGGATACAATTGACTTACTGCCGTCGAATGGCAATTATTTTCAAATTGCAACCAAGTGCTCCCTCCTATTAAAATTTAGTTTCAGTTCAGTTTATTGGTCTAAACAAGAGATTAATTACCCAATTTGTTTTATCTATAGTTGATGATAGTGGATTTGAAAGTGGCTGTTTCTGGATCTCGCTTCATCATGTATGTTTGTAAGAAAGTTCAACCTTTCCTATTGAAGATATTCATAAGTTTACGTTTCATATTTTAAATCTCACTGCAGATGCTAGTTAATTTGTTGATAATCCTTTGATTTTCTTCTTTTAGACATTGTCTACATCACTTTCTATCCCTCTTCTTTGTTTTATTGAAATGATTCAATTCTCTGTACGACCAATACTTAAAAAATAGAGAAAAATGACCGTAAATTCTGTGTCAGTATGCTGTAACAAGTAAAGAAATGTAGCACATTAAACTGCCAATAGCCAGTCAAAGAAAACAGGCAGTTCATTAGTATGCCATTAGAAGCAAACAAATTAATACGAATAGATATAAGTATGTTTTTTATCTCCTGTAACACGAGCTTCAAGTACTAAAATTACGGATGAATATTTACTAGGTATGAAATTCAGGGCGCATGAGAAATGAGGAAGAAATGCGAAATGCGCTTAGTAACCGAATGTATATTCATACAGTAGACAATGAACCACACCTATTTTATGAGATTCAGTGATACTACCTGGTCACCAAAACCTTGGTAGGTTGATTGAAAGTCATTTGTCTAGTCCATTGAACCACTCATGCTTTATCCTAGTGGGGTGAGATTCCTCGACTGTGTATAGCTACATTCCAATTATTGATGGTGTCCCCACTTAGACTCAAACGCATCACCTATCACTGTGAACTAGACCTTTGAATTATGATATCCGCTTCTTGTTTAGTGGATATAGTTGGATATTGAAACTTATTTCCTGTTGTTCGTTTGAGGTGATTCGATAGATTACAGGTACATCCAAACTACGAGTACCAATCACGACGAAATGCGCGTGCTGAATTCCACTTCTTAGCCACTATCAATCCTTAGTATTCAAATGAGATTACCGATTATGTCTAGGCTTTCACACAATAATCATTGTGCCAACAGATAACGGTTAATTCGGTTCGAACCAATCAACAACGCGAAATATCGGTGACCTGCTTGTACTTTAGGGGTACTAATAGTTTTCACGAAATACATTTCATCAAATTCTGTTTCTGTTTGTTTTAATCTTCTAAGTATATCTTCTTAATGTCTCATGTACTCTTGTACCCGTCATAAAATGTTTTCAAATTGTCGTTTCTCAAGCTAAGAATGGAACAAAGAAAAAACTTTACACCGGGTGGAAATAGATATATAAGTGTTCAAAAAAACATTACAGTACTATTTCTAGGATAACTATATCGAATTGTAGATTTTAGTACTGGCTGACTGACCTACCGTCACTTTAATTACACTCGGTTTTGTATTCATCTCGAAGTTCGGACCCAGACGCTAATGTATCACTAGATACCGGTTTCACACTAGTGCCTTTAATACCGTTATTACTAACGCTATTCAGATTAAACATTTATTTCTTTTAAAATATTGAACGGGAAGTGTATTTGTTAAAATATTACCTGCTGAAAGTTCCATAATATGTCTCACATGTTGTTTGGAATAAAGTGATTATTATTATTATTATTATTATCACGTGTTAGAATTGCTTTGTCTTCTACTCTGGAGTCGATTTCTTACTGTGCTTTTTTGTGTGGTTTAATTGATAGAATTTTATACATCGACAATGTGTTGGAATAAATCATGACCCTGGGCATGATGTATTACGTGCACCAGCGGTCACAAAAGCAACAGCAACAACCACAGGTAAAAAATCTCATCATTTACGGCAAAATTCTAAAGATCCTATTTCTAAGTTGAACATAGCTAATCATCGTTATTCTCAACATCACACACCACAGGATCCTAGTCATCATTCCCATCTTTATCATCAAGGACTGCAGTCAAAGTCTGTACAGGCTCCTCAGAATAAAACACGAAGTAAATGTGAATCGTTAGTTGATAATCTTACTACTTCTGATGTCGCTCCTAAGAAGGTATCAGTCTGTGCATCGATACCGCATCAAAAATCAATTGACGGTCAGAAAGTGTTGATTGCTGATAACTTGTTACCAGAAGCAAAGACAACGATCAAGCAAAATGTAAGATCTACCAAAATTGGTCTGTCGAACTCAATGCATCCTCGACAACAAGTGTCTTCTTCTGCATCGTCAAGAAGATCAGCTCGATTTCTAGATGATCCCGTTGAACAGGTGTATAGTTTACCACAACGACCTAAGTCTGTTCAGCATTATCAGAAGACAGGTGATCAACGTCATCATTATTATCCTGATCCTCAGTCGCCATATAGTATGAATTCACAGGTGAGTTTTTCTTTTCTCCAGCTTATAAATTAATCGATAACGTATTGTTTCTTCGTTAATTGCTCCTTGCTTTACTATTAATAGTCTACTTGGTATACAACTTGCAATCGTTTCTTAACGCTGTATTACAAAATGGTAGGCAAACTGAAGCATTTGTCCTGGAATTTGGGGAATGAACAGTAGAATTGATGTGTAACTGAACTTATTCAAGCAATTGGTTACCATTATTGCGTTTGAAGGTTTGCGGGGATTTATTGACTTCACGGACCGACGTCGGTCGGAGAACCTTAGAGCATTAGACAGCTGTTTCGTCTTGGCATTGAACTCTTCAGAAGTGCGCACCCATAACTCCTGTGCGGATCAGACCAGAACTTTCAGTGAGGAGAAATACTGAATGATAGGACTGAATAAAAGTCACTCTATATCACAAATTGATAAAAGCAGGATTCTGACCCAGTGGGTCAATGGTAGTGGTCCCTAGCGGGGTCATGCATACGCACTACTGAGGACTCCCTTATTAACGCAAAACAACTGTCTAGTGCTCCGAGGTTTTCGATATAATATTTATCCAACTGATATCAGTCTATGAAGGTTATCATTTTATCAAAACTCCTGATGATAATAGTATCAATGCTACATAATTGCATCCATTTTAAATCTCACTAAATAGTAGAGAATATTCGTAGCTCAGGTGGATGGTCTTGATTGCATTGTGTTTTATGAGATGGGTTGTTTAATCGTGGAGCTTTCATCATCTTGCTAGATGACATCATTAGCACTAACTTCAGTATGAAGTGAGCTGTCGATATCTCTCCGTGAATGATTTAGTAGCTTGCCCTGACGAACTGGTTTCTGACTGGCTGTTTCCTTTGGTTGTTGTGTAGATTTTCCCTTTGGCTGTTCCTCTGACCTTTCTGTCGTTTATCATTTTCCTTATTGGTTGATAGATTGGGCCTACATCTATACATCTATTGATTGCTGACTGACTGACCTGAATGCCAGGCTTCAAGGAATTCTGTGATCATCTTTTGTGTTTTCTTTGTCCAAAGTTTCTACATTGTCGAAATGGAATTCATGTTCATCGTTGTTATTCATGTGCATTGAAATGAGTGATGAAATGCCGTGGTGTTTAATAGCCAATTGGTGTTCATGTAGATGAAGGCGAAGAGGGCAACCACTTATACGTCATGACATTTCATCACTCATTTCAATGCACATGAATAACAACGATGAACATGAATTCCATTTCGACAATGTAGAAACTTTGGACAAAGAAAACACAAAAGATGATCACAGAATTCCTTGAAGCCTGGCATTCAGGTCAGTCAGTCAGCAATCAATAGATGTATAGATGTAGGCCCAATCTATCAACCAATAAGGAAAATGATAAACGACAGAAAGGTCAGAGGAACAGCCAAAGGGAAAATCTACACAACAACCAAAGGAAACAGCCAGTCAGAAACCAGTTCGTCAGGGCAAGCTACTAAATCATTCACGGAGAGATATCGACAGCTCACTTCATACTGAAGTTAGTGCTAACGATGTCATCTAGCAAGATGATGAAAGCTCTACGATTAAACAACCCATCTCATAGAACACAATACAACCAAAATCTCATTAAATCATAGAGATGTAGTATTTCGTTCGATATTGGAATTAGTATGGTTGGTCATATTGTTTCATGAACAGTAAATCATTCAAGAACAAGTTTTTTCCTTGTTCACTGATTATACCGTCACATTTCAGTTGTATGCATAAGCCGATGCATATGTATTCACGATTATTGTATCCTTTCACGTGAATTTGTAATTATAAAATAAATAAATAAAAATAAAAAAAGAAGTTGGAAATATGGAGCACTGGATTCTTACCCAGTGGCTCAATGGTAACGCGCTGGCCGCGGAACCTGAAGGTCGCGGGTTCGATCCCTGCTGGTGGGGTCGTGGGTGCGCACTGCTGAGGAGTCCCATACTAGGACGAAACAGCTGTCCAGTGCTCCAGGTTTCCTTTGTTCCTCCAACTGATGTCAGTCTTCGATGAATAACAACTTGAACGATTTCCAAATCTCCACAACCCCCTCAAAAATAAATAAATAAATAAAAGCCAGTTAATTAAATGTGGCACCGATTTCCAAAAAAGTGTAACAACTTGGCTATAATACGAACTACATAAAGAAGTGGTTTTTGCCTTCAAGCAGCTGTTATATGGTTCATTTTAGTAGCTCTGATTGTATCAAAGTTCCCAAAAGTAGAATTGAAGTGAAGAATAGGTTCGTCATTATGATTTTTATTGTTAATGGATAAATTATTATCCTTTCCCCTTTATTCTACTTGTCTATGATTGTGTTTTATATTTAATTATTCGGACTTATTTCAACGGTTAGTTGTTATCATTACCATTTCACTTTGATCATTCTGGGTAACTAAGGAAATGTGTAAAAAGGTACAAACTTCCAGGTAAATTACTTTCAAACCCTCCGTATACCTTAGACATTCACATAAGTATCATCATCGAGTTTCAACAATAGAATAGTTCTTTTAAGACATTGAATAGTCTTACAAAATATCACACTAGATAGAAGTTTGAAATCTTAAGAATAAATTCGTTTGAAGAACGATTTAGTGTTTTACAAGTGGATTTGTTCAACTATACGACAACAAAAATCGGTTGTTTTTGACTTTAGGTGATATGGGTGAGAATTGATCTCAATGATGCAAATACATCGATGCATTATCTAAATCATGATCATTATATCACATTTCGTTATTTGTTCTAGTTGGTTTTACCCTCTTGTTACAACTTTCTAAAACTTTGGAATTCACTTTGTTTTCATTTTTCTCTGTCTTATTTCTGTGTTTTACCTTAATGCACTGATGTGGACAGTGACGCAATAGTGTCAAGTTTACGTGGCGATAAAATATTTGTTTATTGATGATTACAAGGTAATCGTAGCAGATATATTTATGGATAGTTGGGAAAACATGGCTTTGCAAACGTTTAGTCTTACACCAAAAATATGGTAGCGATGTATGGATAACACATTTACTATGTTGAAATCGGAACATATCGACAATTTCCTCATGCATATAAACTCAGTAGTAAACGTAATCTAATTCACTTACATGGTAGAAAATGAACAATGAGAATTACTTATGTTGGATTGCAGAATAAAACGAAGAACAGACGGTGGCTTGGATACTACTGTCTACAGAAAACCAACACATTCCAACAGGTATCTAGACTTCAAATCATCTCATCCAATGTCAGTTAGGGCAAGATTAGTCAAATGTCTAAATGATAGAGCTAGAAAACTGACTAGTCAGAGCAAGAACTTAAACAATGAATTGAAACACATAAAAGAAGTGCTAATAGTTAATAATTATCCTCCGTAGTTTATTAAGAAATTCTTACGGGCACACAAAAACGAAGAAATAACAGTCACATGAGTGCGACTAATAACGACAACACGAGAAAAAAGGAGTTCACAGCCTCCATTGTATTGCCCTGTACCTCAGAAACTTTATGTAGAATCCTCGACAGAGCTGGAACTAAGGTGGCATTTAAACCTACAAACTCACTCAGAGATAAACTTTGTCGGCTTAAGGGTGCGATAGAACCAATTCAGTAAAATAATATAATCTATCAAATTCCATGTAATGACTATGAGGTCAAGTATATAAATCAAACTAGTCGGTCGGGGTCAGTTAGAATAACCGAACATAAGAATTTAGCTAAATAAAGAATAACACCTAAATAAGGTCAATAATCTAGAAAAAATCTCGGCTATTGCTATGCATGCATTAACACACAACGACACAATAGGGTGGGATGAAGCCACTACACTTAAGTCCAATATAATTAGGTGGAGAGAGAGATTGATTATTGAATCTTTGTTCATCGAATCATCACTCAACACATGTAATAGAAATGACGCACACCTATACTAGAGATATGGAAAACTTTACTACCAACAAATCAAATCATAGGAGATGATATAACTATAAGAATCAAATGTTGAAAGTAGTGTGATTACACTGAGGTATGATTATGAGTAATAATAATTTATGCTCGAAACATGATCATCAAGTAAATAATACTAGATCACTCACTATGTGTTATAAATCAAATAAATAAATCTAATGATGAATTAAATTCTACCATAATGCCCAAGTTTTACCCCTAATTAAGGTAATTTATCATCCGCTTTGCACTCACCACCCGTTTTAAAGGTGATTTAACTTCACGTTGTTTGGATTGCACTCATTTGATTAATTGTTTGTCTATTCACATAAAAGCTATGAATCTCACCCATTTACCTCTTATCTCTCTCTTAAATGAACAGCTAGATGTCGCGTAGTTTTTATATGAATTTGTAGTCGACTCATGTGTATACCTTGCTGTGCAAAACTTTTGTCTTTAAAGGTTAAACTTTGAGAAACTTTAACGAAAATTACTGGTACTTTTTATAGATAAATCTTTCTGTTGCTTTTCTCGTGTATTGTGTCGAAGGGCAACATTGTAATAAGCTACTGAATGTGTTTACAGTCGTCCATTACATTTTATTTGAAGCCTTTTAATGTGTGTTAGTGAATTTCTCCCCAATGTTAAGCTTTCGTATCAACTAGTTAAGAGATCAGGTTTTGTTTCTTTGTCAAAATTTTAGCGATCAGGATCATCTGGTAATAGACGTCAACATAGACAAGATCCAGTCGCCCGCTATCATTCCTATCAACGTAGCTGGTTAATACATTCTACACCCGGTGAAAATGCCCGACGTATTCTTCGCTGGAATATCAAAACTGCAATGATGCATAGAGAATTACCGTTATTACAACGTAATTCAGCTGAAGTTGCTCGTTTATTAGGTCCATACGCATCAGCTTATTTGGAACAAGAAAGGCAAAGACGATTAAAAAATTTAAAGGTGGGTGATCTTGAAAATTCTTTGATATGTATCATCCTGTTCTTATTATTATCTATAAAAGTGGTATGTTATCTTATTACTGAATGGAAACTGATGCACAGCAAGTAATATTGATTGATACTTTAATTTCCTGTTGATTATTTTACCGAATAAGGTTGACTGATAGCTGTTGGCGTGTAAGCTTAGAATCATTAGAAAACCGCAGCTTGGATTGGACAGGTTTAACAGGCGTAGAACAGCAACGTCCACACTGACGCCTTATATAATCAATCTATTACAGACGGGCTGATATAATAACGGTGATAAAAGTGACGTTGATTGGTATTTGATGTATTGGCTTTCGATCTACAATAAGGTATATCGTTGGCCAGTGTGTGATTAACTTATTTATAATGATAGAAATGCTTATAAAACTCATTTAATTCATTTGTGTATACACGATTTTTGTATTGAAGGCTTAGTGTACAAATGAATCAACAGTAAGCTTAGCTGTAAAATATATTTACCTTGATATTATCTCTGCACCATGATTGATCCTGTTTTATAATAGTTTCATATGCCCTCAGATAAAAGTGCGGTTCGTTGTGTAACACATAAAGTCTACACTAAGTTCTTATCGTTGGATTGTTCCGGTATATGAGGTGTTGTACAAGCTGTCTACAAATGCTAGTGTATACCAGATCAAGGAAATTGAAAAGATTAGAAATTGTTGTGTCATAACTAATGAAAACCCTATGTCCTTTTCTGCCAACTCATTTTGAAAGTTTTTATAGTTTCCAAAAACGCAACTTGCTAGGATTTATTTCTATCATTCATGATAAACTGTTAAAAAGAAATCTGAACACTAATTGGTTACTTGGCGCGTTATGAAAAGCATTTCCAACAAACTACAGACATTCATCAACAGCTGCCGCCTATGCTCGTTGCTGAAGATCAGATGGCCAGAAAGAATAAGCAACAAGCAACTGGGAACCAACCAACCAACAACCTATCGCTCAACACATATGCAGAAGAAAGTGGAGATAGATTGGGCATACACTTAGAAATCCACTCGGAGACATCACGCGCCATGCCAGGCCCTTGAATGGAATCGAAAGATGAAACGACGAGTTGGGCGTCCGATGCGAGTATGACATGGAGGAGATGGTGTGAGGAAGAAATGGAGGCTTATGGGAAGTCGTGGAGCTAGGTTGAAAAGACTGCAGAGAAGAGAGTGGAATGGAGGCGTGCTACTGAATCTCTATATTCCACTAGGAGCCCATGGGACAAATAATAATACATAATAATAGTTCGTAGATATGCAGTCCAGATCATGTTACATAGAAATAGATGGTTAACTCAGGATTCGATAATCATGCCTTGCAGTAAAAATTGCTTCATATCATGGCATATAACTTAGAAGATATAAGGTATGAATGCATCTGAAACACTGCAGTCGATTTTGTGCCATATTAGATGTTTAACCACCTATTCCTGTCTTCCCAATGACTAGAAACAGACAGTTTACACTTTCTCATACCTGACTCAGACAAACAGTCAAGGGTTTCATCATTAATTTGAACTGATTCCCATATGTTTGTCACAAGGAGACTTCTCTCCTTTCTAATAGGGTGGAATGACCAGCTAAGTAGACCAATCTGACGTGACTACCTCTGATTCCCATACACACTAACTGGTACCTCTGTCACTTTTATCAGGGATTCAATTCCATTTTCCTTGAAAATATCGGGTGACAAACCGTCACGTCCAACTTCATTGCATCGTTTCAGGTTCGATACAGCTTTCTCAACTTCAAGAAGAGCTGGAGGACCGACACCCCATTCAGGCTGGATGTCGGGCAACTGAGGCGTTGCTGAGAACCAGTTCAACTATACTTCAAAGTGTTCTGCCCAACGTTCTAGCCACCTGTCCTGAGAGGTTATCAGCGTCCCATCCTCTTCGGTGACGGTTTGACTCACTATCGTCTTCTTCTTGTGGGTATCTTTAATAAGCCTAAACAGTTGCTAAAGGTTACCTAATGCTGATGCTTTCTCCATCTCTCTCACTTTCTTTACCCAATACTGTTTGCGATTGGCTCGAATACTCTTGGTCAACTTAAGTGTAAGTTGCGCCAACTGGAATCAGTCTTCACGTATCAATCAATTTGGATGACGTTATGGAAATCGTATAACGATTGATAATCTTTTGGCATTACTGACTGTTTTTACCAGTGTTCCTACAACAGATTTGATATCACATCGGTTAGTCAGTTGGATAATACAGTATTAAGGTGCAAAAAATCCGCCATTCCAACAAAATATCTTATCTTCAGCATACACCTGATAATGATATATTTTTCTGGTTTGTAGCTATCCTGTGAATGATATCAGTAAGTAGATTAAAATTTTCGCAAGATGAATGAATGACTCAATGTCGGCCAGTGTTGTTAATGAGATTTTGCCCCATTATTGTCTACTATTTCTGTCGTCTTCCAGTATGGATAAGAAGGTATTCTTTCACTACAAAATATTCCGAATTTCCCCGTCACTATACATAAAGTCTGAAAGGATTTTAGATGTCGTGTAAGAAGTTATTCTTATCAACAGTGTTAAATTTACTATTCTCTGAAATTTTGCGGTTGTTTGATAGTAAAGTGTTTGTAGTAATCAAAACATTAGTAAATCTCAGCATCATATTCACATAAATATCAGTTTATATCACGTAGGAAGAAATTGTCCATTAAGATATATACTTCAGTGTTTTAATGGTATATATATAAGTATATGCATATCACTTACTTCTTCTGTTTCTCTTTCTTTCTCTTTCATCATAGTTGGATTATGTGCCACCAACTAGTCGTCGTTATGATACCCTCCGTCAAAGTATTCGATCATTGATGTCTAATCCGAGTTAATGATATATGTGGTAAAGTTGTTTAGCTCTTAATTTGTTTTTTGGATCCAATGTATATTTAAAACTTTTTTTTTTATTCTTCGTTCTACAAATTCTTCTAATTACAATCATTTCTATGCTCATCATGTATACGTTTGTCTATGGGATTTTCTCTTATCAGTATTCTAGTAAAGAAAAGCGTAATACAGTTCAAATCATAACTACTACAGAATATAATACGTCTGTGAATATGTACATCTTGTAGAAAAATTGGTATCTAACTTGAGAAATATATATATATATATATATATATATATATATATATATATATATATATATATATGCGCATGTATGTTTATGTGCATTCGACGAACAAAGGAACAGTATTTATCATATGCATACACTAAGTACATGTATGTATTCTGGATATTTCCCAATGTTTCACTTCCTTAAAATTATTCTCAACTAGTTAGTTATATGAGATAATTCAACCGACCCAATAGTTAGATTATCAATAATATGTTGGATACAAAACTTTTTCGTTTGTTTGTTTATTCTTGAACATTTTATAATATCCCGCGTGATATAATTGACTAGCATATTGGACAATCAGTTGACTGATTGATTGGCATTTTTTTTCTCTACTTTTCGTTTTCTCAGCTAAACGGATAATCAGCAAGAGAGGAGACTGTCTTAGTCTCTCTCTGTCTTTTCATTTAAATTGTTTTTATAAAAAATAAAGACATTCCAAAGTATTTTAGGTTTGCATTACTGTTTCCAATTTCTGTTTTATTTTCCTATTACCTTTAGTAATATTTATTTTGTTTTATTTTCAATTGAAATACGTGGATTTTCGATCTATAGTTTTCATTTATGGTGCTTATAGTTTCGGGTTTTTTTCTTTTTTTATGTACTTAGTTATCTTGTTAAACAACTTATATAATCACTCAGCGAATAAATAATAAACTGTTTTCACGTTTCCCTTATAATAAATTCTTCAGTGTAGCGATTCATGTTGACTTTGACTTCGAAACATAAAATAAGGGGAAGGAAATCCTGTTTGTTGTAGATCGGTATCTCAATGTGGTGTAAACCTTTATATATGAATATTTAAGTTACGGGTTAGCTTCCACTCGCTATTTCCTGTCCACTTGTTCTTTGTATGCTACTATGAAGCGTAGCAAGTTGAACTGACGCACTTCTATATGACGTTTCACATTGTTTTTGTCTGTCTGTTCACTCTCTTTGGGCATGTATTTGTACTGAACTAATCAATGCAAGAGGGACCCACTCTCTAGTCAACCAGCTAGAGCAACACTTCGCCAGTTGAAGCAAATTAACCAGTCAGCGTAGCACCTTTTCCCCCTCCAAGTTGGACGAGTCGATCAATCAAATCAAGACAACCTTCCCTTCAACATTCCAATCAAATAGCCAGAACAAGACGATCTTTAATAATTCATTTAAACAAAAAGGGTCAACCAATCACAACAAAGCGAACTCAATGTATTGTTGGCGAACAAAGCAGATCAACCAATCACATAATAAAGACAGGAAGTTAATCAATCAGGTTCAGAATACGCTCGTGCACTCACCAAGCTACTAGTTGAATTACACTCACATGGGGCAGTGCATTATAAATATGTGTGCACAACGAACTAATTCACTTCAAAGTGAAGCTCCGACACGCTGCTGACGACGTCTTTTATAACACTGGAACGTTTGTCAATCAAAACCCTAGTTTAGAGGTCAACTCACTGTAAGCACTTATGGATGTATCAACGGCTTCAGAAATTAGGTTGGGGTTTATTTTATTGAACAGCCAGTTCTAGTTCTTCTCATTCATCACATTTCTACTTTTTTATTTACCTTAACTGACCTATGGTACAGAAACATTCGGAAACATAAGACCCGAAACAATACATTTCTTCCCTTCTTAGTATTTCTTAACTGGGAGTAGAGAGGATCAATAGTGAGTGAAAAATACATTGGAAAGGATCCAAAGCAGAATGGACATGACGAATTATTAAGTGATATAGTGTTTAGCATGTATTGGTAAAATGGAGAGAGTGGATGGTAGCGGAAACATCCTTACTGTTGGATTTCACTTATTCAATTCAATTAATCCTGTGCATTGATTTTGGTTCACAGTTATCCATTCAAGCATTAATTGCAAGAAATAACATTATTCACTTCTTTCATATATTAGTTTTGATATCTATGAGTAGTTGGTTGCAGCAGAAATGCATTTATCAAGCAGAGGAACTTGGACAAGATCTAATAAGTACTTTCTACCTTTTACATTGTATTTTTCTACTTCGTTTGGAAGGATAATTCGATCAGTTGTCTCATTGATTAGGTTATATGATAATGAAGAGGGTGTTCAAAATGCTTAGATATAAGAGATTTGTGAATACAGGATTAGTTTGTGATGTTCTATGAAACTGTCGTACACTAAAAATCATTAACATTTCTGTCTAATTGAACTGACAAGCTGGGATGTGACCGGTTGCGTTGGCACTACTTTTATGTTTCGATACTAAGTTTGCCAATCTCATCTATTGCGTAGTAATGTCATATCGCATATTGATATTAAATTTATACCTGGTCGTGTCAAACTTAGTTTTCTGAAAAACTGATAAATAAATTTGTTCCTGATTTAATTTAATCTGTAGTGTCTAATAGTGAAACACAGGATGGGCGTTTGTCCTATTTGGGAATCATGAGTTGGATACATCTATATTTGGCTTCAGCTGACGCTGTAACTCAGTACTCATGATTAAAACGTTTATCCAGTAGGCAACTATGCTGGAAGTGTTACTTTGTGTGGAATGAATTTCCGTTTTTATTTCTCACTGACTGTTATGCTGGACTGGATTGGTTGGTTCACTTTCGAACGCCTTTCCTGCTCGTGATCACAGTATATATAATTTACTCATAGTAGATTGATTCATTCCATAGTGCGTAAGGTCTTCATGGTTTCCATCCCTCTGTTTACCAGTTTTCAGATTCGCACTTTGGTGCATTTGCAAGGTTTTTACAGAAACCCGTGTGTTCATACATTTTTAGTCTGGTAAACAATGGTGAGAGTACAAAATATATTTGTTCAATTTCCTGTTATTTTGACTTTTTGTGGCTTTATAATGATTAGATAGGAGATCGAAATAAGTTAAAGGAAACAGATATTCATGTTACTATCATCCATCATTCTATTTTCAGATATGGGAGGATGAAGAAAGATAAGAAGGAAAACAAACCTAGGATGGATCACACATTCTCGAACACTGAATCGTCAGTAAAACAGGATTCGTAATTGCATGAACTTAAATAGAGCAAGAGGAACATTTGTAACAGAATTTGTATGCATATCTTTCCTGGACTCTCATCAACTGTTGAAACCTATCAAATAGAATGTTTACGGTAAAAGACATATTGTGCAACTTACTTTAATAAGTCGACAAGAATGCTTCGACTGAGACGGGAAGTAACAAGGATTTAGGTCAACTTAGATTGATGAGGTTGTTAAAACTACCTGAAGGATTACTATTTATACAGTGATAGGATGTACATTCTAGGGACAATATCAAGAATATATGAGAGAGTTGTATTCTTTGCTATTCTAGAAATGGTAAAAATGACATTATGAAGAACCAAAGGTCAACCTGGACAGCTGTTCACGATATAGCGCGACTTCCATCCAGTGCGATGAACTGACAGGAGTAGGAAATATGGACCAATGGCTTCTGACCCACTGGCTCGATGGTATCATGCTGACCACGAAGCCCGAAGGTCTTGGGTTCGATTTCTGGTGGAGTCACGGATGCTCACTTCTGAGGAGTCCCATATTATGATAAAACAGCTGTTCAGTGCTCGCAGGTTTCCAATGGTTTTCAGACCGATGTCAGTCCCTGATGATAACCAATCTGAAATCAATAAAAACTCCACAAGATTCCGAATTGAAGTCTTCATCATATTGAGTGGAGCTTAGAAAGTGAGAGTAGGCTTTAAAGTAGATTAAAGAATGAAGTGAAAAGCGGCGGGTCATGAGGTCATTAAATTATGTATTTACAAGTTTAGAAGATTAAAATTATCAAAGTAAAGCAAGACTGACAAAGGTATCTTTCTGAATACTAAGATTATCTTTGAAGCTTCTAGTTGCAGTTGCTTCAGATAACCGCGTAATAGTGAGTTTCAAATGTTTTTTGATCACGTCAACCGATTTTGATCTGTCGACTTTATGTCCATTATTAAGTAAATGCGACTTCATTGTTTGATCCCTGTAGTATATGTTCAGAAATGCAAACAAGAAACCTTTTCTCTGTTCTTTCAGTCTATATACTTTGGCACGTGGATGTAAATTGATAAAGGTAACAAGAGTTAGGAACTTGTACACTTTGCATTCACTCAATGAGCATTTATAGTCTGATACACATAATCTGACTTGGCTGCTGGATAGGTCTGTTTTAGTGGAGCACTCAGTCTATAGTCCATCCGTGTGTCCATCTCCTTTGAAGTCAAGGTACGGATAGATAGGCTACTTATTGATTGTACTACAACTGGTTCTCATCGTTTCTTTCGTACTTTACTTATCAATGAAATCTTGTGGTTAACCATTTTTGTGCGGGCAATGTTCAATGAAAGCCAGTTCTTCCTTAATTTTATCTTCACAGTGAAGTTTACGCGTACAGCTGGAAAGTGTTCTTATCAGACATTTCTTTTAACTAATTGGGCAGAAGCATTTGAATTCATCTATTTGAATAACAGTGCAATTCAGGAAGCGCGTTTCGTACTGTCTTTGACTCGTCAGTTGGATGTTCCCCCACTGGATTTGAACCTTAGTGGGACGACATCACTCACTGGGTGCAGGTGCATTCAGCTAATGGGTTATAAATAAGACGAAACTCGCGCCCTGAATTCCACTGCCAGTTACCTAAATGAATATACGGCAGTATCGGCATACACATTTGCCTACAGAGGTCGAGCAATTCAGCCCTGCGTAGCAATGGGAAATTACAAGTATCAAAC